TAAAACTTTTTTTTTTTTAAATATACAATAGACATTATTATATAAACCTATTTACAAAAATGGAATCGTGAGAAGATTTTCAACTTTCTTTTATTTAAAAAAGCTTGCGGATGTTTTCGGAAAATTCAAAAATGTGGCGACCTTTTAAGTACAACCTTCCAAAAAAGAAATATTCTAGTATATTAATAAATATTTATTCACCTGTTCGCTCTTTGTGTTTGGGAAAATTCCCAATTCTTTTCTGTAATGTAAATTGTGGGAAAAGACATTATAAATGAAAGAATCACTCTGCTTAAAAACTTCACTTGCAGTAAAATTGCATCATTAATCTAATTTAAGAAAAATTAAAATTTCTCCGACTCATTATTTTATCATAGTATATGAAATGAATTGAAGAAATAATGAGTGTGATCTCAAAAGGGCTAAAAGGAATGGTTTCAAAATATAAATTATTAGATAATACATCGGGGCAAACGAGTACCTTCACAGTTATATTTAATTAACCAATACATTGCAAGCTTTTTTTTTAAAAAAAAATCACATCAACTTTAAATATAATCAAGTACCAAATAAAGGAAATGCGATTAACTTGTAGTTTTCAACATGGAGATTCTATACGACAATCGCATCGTTCGTCACATCAAAGAACGTTTTATTATATATCCTATTATTTTAGCACTATAAATATGTTATTTTGGATTTCATTTATGTCGTCAATAATGGTGAAAAGTGTTAGTGGAATGAGCGAACTGAGAATAAATGAATTAAAGTGAGTTATTAGTTTTGAATTGTCCTGATGCTTCTTCTTCAAGAGATATTTGAATTAATAATTTATTTATAATTAATAGATTACAAGCAAAGGTATAACTAGTAAAATTCGCTTTTTCCTTATTTTAATTTTTAAACCCTGTTTTTTTATTAGGATATGTTTTATCATGCGTTTGATAATTATATGAAATATGCGTTCCCCGATGACGAGGTAAATTTAAAAAGTTAATTTTGCCATTTTGCTTTGAATTTATTTTCTTATTTTTTTTTTATAATTTTTTTTTTTTTTTTTTTGGAAATTTTTAGTTAAATCCTTTACGTTGTATAGGTTTAGGAAGTGATAAGAATGATCCGCAAGTATATTTTTTTCCGTTAATTTTTAATATTTTATTCTCAATTGCGTTCTTTATATAAATTCGAATTTCATTTAATAATTTCTAGACATAATACTTTAATTAATGACGTGCTTGGAGATTACTCATTAACGCTGGTGGATTCATTGGATGCATTTGTTGTAATGTATCATTATTTATTTATATTTCAAATCATACGTGTATATATATATATATATTAAAATATGTAAAATAAATAGGTATTCAATGATAAGGAAGGATTCGAAAAGGCAGTTCATGACGTAATAAAATATGTATCATTTGATGTAAATAGTAAAGTGCAAGTATTTGAAGTAAATATTCGCGCATTAGGAGCATTGGTATGTTGCAAAATGTTACTGATTTAATTTATTTGTTTTAATATTTAATTGATCCATTTTATGTTATTTGAAATAAAAAAGTTGTCAGCGCATTTATTCGCAACAGATCCAAGATTTGGTTTTGTTATAGAGGGATACACTAATGAGCTATTGAATTTGGCTCATGATTTAGGTAAAAGATTATTACCTGCTTTCCATCATTCGAAGACAGGAATTCCTTATGCTAGGGTTAGTAAAGTTGAGACAATATGATTCTGGAATCTGATAATAACCTCTTACGATAACAATTTTCGGATGTAAAATTCAGGTTAATTTAAAATATGGGGTATCTAAATATGAAACACATGAAACTTGTACAGCTGCTGCTGGAACTTTAATAATTGAATTTGGTGTACTGAGTAGATTAACGAACGATACTCGATTTGAGGTATTATTTTGTCATTTCACGTGTCATTGCGTATGGTATGTCAACTAAATATCCTTTATTTATTCTTCTAGGATGTAGCAAAGCAAGCTCTGTTTGGTCTATGGAATCGACGAACAGATTTAAATCTTCTTGGGAATGTAATAAATTTGCAAACAGGACAATGGATATATAAAGCTGCTAGCACAGGATCAGGAATAGATTCATTTTATGAATACTTGTTGAAAGCTTATGTGCTATTTGGGGAAACCGAGTATTTAGACATGTTTAGCGAAGCTTATCATGCTGTTCTCCGATATATTAGGGATGAAACTGGATATTTGTATAGGAATGTTAATATGATGAACGGAGTATTAGTGTCAAGCTGGGTTGATAGTTTATCGGCCTATTTTCCAGGTTTGCAGGTGAAACAATTAAATAGGTTTTAAAAAAAAAAAAAAACACTTTTGATATTTATTGTACAAGGATGTTCAGTCGTGAATTTTTTTTCTTTTAGGTTCTGGCTGGTGATCTGGATAATGCCATAAAGTCCCATTTATTATATTATAATATTTGGAGAAAATATCAAGCTATGCCAGAAAGGTTTGATTTTCATTTGAGAAATGTAGAGTTGGGAACTTATCCGTTGCGTCCTGAGTTCATCGAATCCACTTATTTTCTTTATCGGGTATGTGTTAATGTAAAAGTTTTCATAAGATATATTGTTTTTATAATGAAGATATCTATTTCTCTTTAGGCAACGAAAGATCCATTTTATTTACAAGTTGGAGAAATGGTAATTAAAGATCTCGAATCTTATGCACGTGTTGTTTGCGGATATGCAAGCGTTAAAAATGTGTTAACAAAGGAACTTGAAGGGCGTATGGAGAGTTTTGCTTTGAGTGAAACTTTTAAGTATTTATATCTGTTGTTTGATACTGGTAATAATTTGGCATCACTAAATTTTAAATTAATTAATTATTGTTATTTAAAATCTTAACGTGTATTCTTTTTTTTCTTATCAAAAACAAAAAAAGAAAACAGGATTAATAGTTTGGATGATAATTTTATTTTTACCACTGGTGGACATAAATTTTTCTTTTTCAAGTCGTGTATTTAAACGTAATTCTTTAATAACCAAGGTATTACCTTTTTATTTTATTATTTTATTTTATAATAGAGGCACATATTATATCATTACCACAACAATATCTTAAAAATAATTCTGAAATACGACCTAGTAAAGGTAGAATTGAGTATTCAATATGTCCCGCATATGAAAAACCATCTCCATCAAAACATTTATTTGCAAACTCGATAATAGCATCAAGACCAGATATAGATTTTATAAGAGAGTTGGTTGGATTTGAGGAACTTATTTTACCACCTTTGGATCCTAAGGGTATATGTGAAGTACCAAAGTTAGATCTACAAGTTATGGAAGTTCAGTTTGCGGAATCACAAGAAACATCTGAAAATGATTTGAATGATCAGGGAAAAAAAGAACAGAAGATTATAAAGTACGTTAATGGGTTAATTGCAAATCGATTAAAAGGATTGAAATTGGAGTTGACAAAACGCGTTGATAGGAAGGGTTATGATGTTACGAAAGGTATAATTATTATAATATCTATTTGGTCTTGTAAAATTTGATGATTATTAATTGTATTATTTTATTTATTAAAATTTGTATTTCTTTCGTAGTGGATAATTACAGGTATACATTTATTTCATTTAAATAGTAATAAATTATTATATTATTTTAAACATTTAATTTAATTATTCTCACTTTGGTTTAGAATCTATCCCGGACAAATTTTTGAGATAAGAGATCCGGCAGTAAAAAAATTCTGGATAAAACAACAAACATATAGTACATCAATTCTTCGAGTTTACATTTCAACTTTAAGTAATGAGGTTTCTAGTTTTGATTATCTTACAGCTGTAGCATCATTTGGTCCTAAAATTACTGGTGAACTTCCTGTAAGAACACTTGTACAAATAACGTCACCTTACGGATGTGAAGATTATAATAATGAAGAAGCAACCATTATTGATGGTAAAATAGTATTTGTAAGAAGGGGAGCTTGTACTTTCGTAGAAAAGGTGTTAAGAGCTCAAGAAGCTGGAGCTAAAGGTATTGTCATATGGAATGACGATAATTATCTATTTCAACCTGTTAGTCCAGAAGAGCATAGAGATATTTGGACATTTGAAATACCTTGTGTATTAATTACTTATGAGAATGGCATTAAATTAGAAAAAATATTAAAAGAAGCAGAAGAAACGTTACAATACATGGAAGAAAATGATAAAAATATGCAAAGAAAGAAGATCATTAAAGTTAAATTAATGCCTCATGAACAAGAACCTGCTACAAACATTAAAACTAATGAAAATAATGAATCACTATTAACTATTCATGGACATATTATACGCAACATTAAATTGAATCTTAATAGACAATAAAAAGAATACAAAATCTTATAAATGTGATTAATTATATTGTGTATATATATTAAAAAAAAAAATAAAGTTTAATTCAAGAATATTATTATATTCTTAAACATTTTTATTTTAACATTATTATTATTGGGGGAAGAATGTAAATATATTTGTTATTTTTAAACAAATTAATTTTGATCAAAATAATGATTTTAATAAAAAGGATTTAAATTTTTTTTTTTTTTTTTTTTAAAAAAAAAAAATACTTTGATACTAAATATATCAAAATAAACAAAAAATAAATAAATATGAATGTATAATAAGAAAATGTCCTTTGTACAAATTTCAAAAATACGAAATAGGTACATTGCGACTTCGCCCTAACCGAACCGAACCAAACCCCAACCCAAGTCATCACTAAAGTATTCTAAAAATGATATATATTTTTATATATATATATTTATATTTATATATATTTTTTTTTCCGTTCCTTAGCTTTTTCTTAACTTAGTGCTATAAGTCTCAAACTTGAGAAATAAATATATGCATAATGAAAACAAAAATTTCTGATATTTACCATTGTTTTCTATTATTATTTAGAAAACAAATAAACCTTCTATTTATCGAAAATTACCAAAATAAAAGAAAATATTGTCCCTCCAATTTTCCAATCTATCTCAACGAACCAGCATCAAATGATCTCGGTCCGGTGAATCCAATTAAACCTAGATATTGGAGATCAATATTGTCTGCATCACCTTCTGCCCGAAGTAACTTCACTAATATGAATTTACCTGATCTTTTTTGTGTTTTAAAAGTACATTATTAACTTTAGTATTAATATAACGTTAATCCATAACTGTAATTGCTTACCGATTAGGTTGCAAGACTTGAGTTGTCATATTTGTAATAGTGTCTAATCGGAAATACGCTGCAGGCCAAGAATCATCTATACTGCCATTTTCGTTGCTTTCCAATAATGCCTGGTAATCCGCTTCAGTAAAGTCATCATATTTTGAGGTGGCTATTTAAAAAGGAAGGAATTAGCTTGAATGTCATTGATATAAATGGTATGACCAAATTCAATATATTTATATTACCTTCAAGAGACATAGGTTCATGAGAGACAAAAATCAACCCCTCTTTACCTATTTCCAAACATAAATACATATGTGTAAAAAGATAATTAATATATCGCTTATTAATTACATGCAGTCTTATATATATAATTAAAACATACATGGAGCAGTAAAACCATGTGTAGGAGCTTTTATGATGATTTTTGAAAGTACGAATGCTGATTCCATAGCTCCTAGGATAGGATCACTAAATCCGAGTAAGATATTAACGTTGCTACTCTTCTTTGAACTAATGAAAGTCATTAAAATAAATATTAGCAGTTTTTTATAAGCAAATCAAATGCATAAAATAACATGATAACCCACCAGTAGACATTATTATCATTTTTTAATATGTTTTCTACATCATAAGTTGAACTGTAATAGAAAATTGGATTTAATAATTAATAAATGTTCAAAATGCAAAAATTAATGCTGATGCTAATATATCTGCTATAAAGCATAGTTGGAACAAAATTCAATATTGATTAGGCAACCGTTTTCTTAACATTTGTCTACAATTCAATACTCATTATAAAATAGTCCTTTATTCTAACGATCGTTTGATTTCAAACTGTGATTCTATTATTGTAAATGCTTGATCACTTAGTAACATACCTGAAATTACCACCGTCACAATGCACGATGTCAAACCCTAATGCAAACTCTCCAGTAGTGCCATGCGTGCTCCTCCATTTCCTTTTCATCGCTCTATGATCCCGTACTGAACTTCTTCTATGTAAAGACAAAGAACCGGCCCTACTATTTGGTCTGCTTGTGGTAGCTGCATGCTGCAGTATCCGTGCATTTAATAACTCGTCCAGCCCGTCACTCCTACTGGACGAGTTGTTACTCAGTGATTGAATCAAGGTTGCAAATGTATTCGAACGAGATAATTGTTGTAATAAGGCAGAAGAAAAAGGTGAGGGTGAAGGTGAGCGTGTTGTAGAGTTGGTTGAGTTAGTTGAACTAGAGGAGACTCGCATACTTTTTTTTTTTAAAAAAAAAAAAAAAAAAAAAAAAAAAAAAATGGGGTTTCTAAATAAATTATGTGTTGGTAAGATTGAAAATTTTCCTTTCGTTTTAACTTTATTAGTGCATAACACTTTGTTTTTGAGCCGCCGCGTTATGAAAAAAAAACCCCCCAAAACTTATCTTACCAGTATGGGAAATTTCGAACATCAGAGTTCGAAATCACGTGCTACAATTTTTTTATAATTATTTTGTCGGTTGTTTTTGTTGGGCTCTATTGAAAAAAAATGCTTGATACTAAAAACGAAATTAAAAAGCTTCCACTTTCGGAAAATCTTTTACATTATTACCAGAAAAGATGTGGTATTGCATACATTCTTCCTTGTTCAATTAGTTAATATGCTTAGAGAAATGAGAATTTTTTTAAACCTTTTAGAAACGGCGGAACAAGAATATCAGGACGCGATTGACGCGATTGATAAATGTAAAACATCAAATGAAAAACAACATAATTTGACATGGGATCTTCAACAGCGTTTACAAGAAATCGTAGAACTACAAAAAGATCTTAGTGACACGCAATTGTTCATAACAGAAGAACGAAAGCGTTTCATGGGAGTTGTTGCCGAGAATGACGAATTAAGAGGTGTGAGCTGTGAAATTCATACGCGTTTATGAAATTCTGTATAGTAAAATTTTTCTAATGAAATTTGAGATCAAAAGCGTGTAATAATTTACATCCTTATTTATTGAGCAGTCCAAGACTTACAAGATCGTAGGAAAATTCAATATCTATTATCAATTACTGGACCGTTAAAGCAGGATGAAGATTCAGTAATTATCACAATATAATTCATTTTCTGTTATGTTGATATATTGAATCCTTATTTAATTTTTATAGGATTCTGGGGTTAAAGATCCGCGAGACAGTGAGATAGAATCTTTAAAATTGATGGTGAAATCTTTACAGTCCCAATTTGAAGAGCAGGTTTATTTCAAATTACGATGCTTATACCTTAATTTATTGGCAAATTGTTTTTTTATTAAAGTTAATTTTTTGTTTTTGTTTCCCAAGAGACATGGGTATGATGAAATTATAGAAAATCTAAAGTTAAATCTTCAGGCTTGTATAGAAGAGGAGACGCGACGGCGTCAACGAGATGCTAACACAATAAACGAATTGACTAAAAAAGTTCAACTAATGGAAAATGTATTCCGCGAGAATACCAAAGGTATGTTTCTTATGGAACATTTTTTTTTTAGAAAAAAAAATTAACTAGCATATAAATTCTCCATTATAGAAACACTTCAGCTCAAAAAAGATAAAATGACAGAAGAGCGAAAAATTAATGAAGAATTAACATCATTGTTACAAGAATTGGGCGATATAAAAGCTTTATATCGCAAAGAGAAAGAAAGAAATGACTCGGTCGAACGGGTAACTTAACTAACTAAAATCATTATCATGTTATTTTTTTATCGTTATTAAAATCACATAATATTATAGGAAGTCGAATCAAGAATGCTTTTAAAGTACGATTCTTCGATTAGTGAACTCAGATGGCAAAATGGACAGTACGAAAGGGATATTAAATCAATTAAAGTAAGCTAATTTATTCTTCATCAATTTTATATTTTTTAATATTTAATCTTTTTATTAGACCGAGAAAGAACAACATGAAGAATCTTCAAAGCGTAAAATTGAAATACTTCAGAGAAGGGCTGAAACGCTAACAGCCAAGTTTGTATTGATATTTACAATTTTTGAATAATTTATGAACGTATTGTTGATTTTTTTTTTTGTAAAAAAAAGTTACAATAATATGAAAAGGCGTCGAAATTACGATTTTGAAGGATTCTCAAATGACATCACGATGTTGAGAAAACAGCTTAAAGGATTAGAAAAGCTGATATTGAAATATGCTCCATATGATGATCAAGAGTACCGTTTAATGAATATAGGTAAAAAATCAATGTTAATTTTTTTTTAAATGTCCTTTATTATAAATATATTTATTTATTGTTTATGTATGCTTATTAGTTAAAGAAACCGGTGGACAGATAGGTAAGGTTTCGGATGAACTACGAACGCTAAAGGTAAGCATTTTTATATGATAAAATTTTAATAGGAATGGGCAATTATTCATTTATCGATTATTTCAGGCTCAAAATACAACGTAAAGAACAGGTCTTTTAATTTTAATCTTTTTTGTATTTAGCATTAATTTTGTTATCATATTTCCCTTATATAATTAAAGTTATGTATAACAAGTAAATTCATATATAAAAATTAATCTGAAAAACTTCGATATGATCATTTTACCACTATTACAAGATTCATGTGAATTATGCTGACTTGATCTTATTTGTACCACGAAGCAAACCACTTCTTCTGGCTGCGATTAAACCAACCTAAGACAAAGATTAAAATATTAAAACAATTGTTTTAGGAAATGAATGATTTTAAAAGAAATTAAGAAACCATACCTTTTGTCCAGGAGCGCTTTCTCTGGAGACTGTAGATGCATGACCGATATGTTGATGGTTACCACCACCGTGAGGATGGTCCACAGGATTCATGGCAACACCACGAGTCTTGGGCCAGCAATTTCTCTTTACACGATATTTGTGATATGCACGTCCAGCCTTAAGCAAAGGCTTATCAATACGACCGCCACCTGCTACAATACCTATTGTAGCACGAGCACTAGAGTGGATAACTTTCTTAGCGCCTGAAGGAAGTTTAATTCGAGTCTTGCCGTCATCATGATTATGTCCAATAATCGTAGCATAATTGCCTGAAGCACGAGCCAAAGCTCCACGATCACCAATCTTTTCTTCCACATTGCAAATGATTGTACCTTCGGGCATTGAACCAAGGGGAAGCACATTTCCTACAGTTAAAGCGGCTTTTCTTCCACAATAAACAAATTGACCAGTATGCAAGCCTTCGGTTGCAATGAATGTCTGGATATGACGTTTATACCTATAAAAAAAAATTTTTTTAAAAGATCATAATAAATATATCTCGATTATCAATGTTGTCTAAAATTAAAATTTCTAAATCATCTAAATTGATTATTCCAAATTAAGTTACAAACATACCGATAAGGATCGCGAAATTGCACCTTTGCAAGAGGAGCACCACGGCCAGGATCATGAATAATCTCTTTAACAATACCTCGTGTATAACCATTACGTTCAGCATAATCCAAAGGTCTTAATTTAGCAGCTCCTTTGCGAAGCCTAGTGTGCGCCTTGAAAATGCCACCGGGACCTTTTCTTTGAGAACGAATAACACGACCCATCTTTAAAGTTTTTTAAGTTATGCTATGATCAAAAAGTAAAGATGACATTAAATTAAGATTAACTCAATAAATTCAATTAATAAAATTTTATTAAGATCAAAATGAAAATTTGGTGAAATTGATTTAATTTCCATCCATTATTTCGTATCAAAAAAAAAAGAAAAGAAAATTTGATCTATCTGTCCATTAAAAGCAGTAATATGTTGATATAATTATTCGTAAAACTTACTTACCACAAAAATTAACCCCAGGCAAGTAATTCTTGGGATATGAAAGTAGAGGGAGAATTTTTCTGATCCAAAGTAGATTAACTTTTGTATTTTTTTCGAATGACAATTTCATTGGACCGAATTTTTCACATGATTGTAAACCACGTGGTCGAATCATTTTAGGAGGAGAGGTTCTTCACGAAAACTGCGCTATATATTTACTACTCCTAAAGATAAACAAATATAAAACTATGCTATTTTGTTAAATTTGGTAAAGTTTAAACTAGATATTTCTTAGTAAATACTTTATTTATTCATAATATTCACTGAATATTAATTTTTATATTGTCATCATTTTGATTAATTTAATAATGCTTTTCAAATTCTTAAATAATTTTTTAACGTAAATTAGATTTAAATAAAAATTTTCAAAAAGATGAAAAAGTCATGTTTCTAATGATTAATAAAAAATTTACTTGACCATTTATTTGAATTTGACAAATTAGAAAATTATCAAATAGTATAAAATACTAATAATTAAAACTACTTTAGTTGAACAAATTGTATCAATAATTGTATTTCAACTAAAGATGATGCAGCAATTAATTTCAAATTTACAACATGTTACAACATAAGCTGCAACATTAAAAGTTGCAACATATTAATTACAGTTCTCATCTTTAATCTTAACAAATACTTTGAATTTTGAACTTATAAGAAGAAAAAAATTAATATATGAGATAATGTTAGAATAATTAGAATAATTTCTCTAATTCCTCTTATAATAGTTATTTATTAGCTTATTATTCTTAAAGAAATTGTATTAGTTTAAATATTTTCTTGTAAGATTATTAAGTTTAACTTTAAAAAATATGCTGATTTAGAATTATATGTTACTAATATTTTATCAAATAAGATTAGAATGAATTAAATATAAAATATAAAAAATATTTACCTGTAATTTAAATATAGAGATACATGATTATTGATTATAGAAGATTATAACTTTTGAATGTTTGATTATTCTTAATTTTTATATCCTTTAGAAATACAGTAACAAATTTTGGTTTTTAATATATAAAAAATATTTATTATTCAAAAAAATGCATTTTTTTAATCAATTACAATTAATGATATCTTTAAGTTTTTAACATTTTTATACTAGCAGTATTATAAAATAAATACTGATTTCCTACATTTCCAATAAAATTTGATATTTTTAAAAGAAAACATTAAACTCTAATCTATTTAAGAAAAAAGAATAATACTTAATTATTAGTTTCTTATTATAAATTTTCTTAGCTATTTAAATATATATTTATTCTAAAATTTGCGATTTTTTTTAGATTCTGATTTTTATTAGTTCATTAATAATATAGCAGATATTTATATAATTGGCTATTATATAAAATTATATAATATAGTTTTTTATACAGTTTAAAATAGCAGAATACTATAATTATATTAAAGAGTAGTATTGTTAATGTGTGATTTTTA